TAAATGCTTTGCTAATTTAGTTTATAATTAATCTATGAAATCTTATAATAATTTTAAATTAATTCTAAAATTTTTTATACTTTATATTTTCCGTTTTGTCTTTACCCTACGAATATATGCACTACCGGGCTTATAAAATAATCTTTACGCGGGTATGGGCTGTGGTCCCGAATTATTTACCCCATAGGCAATCCGAAAAAGATTTATGTATATACTTATATGCAAGCCAAGCTCACATATAACATCATATATCATTTATATCAGTCAAAATTGATAGACATTGGAATACTGCAAACCGTTTCAGCATGGAATTTATTTACAGCTTAATTTCGAAGCTGTTGCTATAGTTTAAAAATTGAAATAGAAGCAAAATATTTGATATCAGCTCTGGAATAGTCTAGATTGTAGTGCTAGAAGGGCATTCACAGAACGTGGGGCTATCAACGATTTGGATGTTCTTGTTGTTGTTGGCCAAAACATTGTCAATGGAAATTGTCAATTGGTGTGATAAGGGCCGCAGCAGCAGCAGCAGCAAACGTTAGGTACTGGGGGCGTGTGGCGTGAAATTCTATGAAACTGAAATCAAAGGCTTCCACTTAATTGGCGCTACTATAAATAATAAACAGTTTGCCATGAAAGAGCTCATTCAGCGATTACCATTCGCAGTAGTTGGAACTAATAAACCGAAAGAAATAAAACTCTCGCAAACTCTTTAGCAAACCCCAAAACAAAATGTGCAAATTGAGCCTGTTTCTGTTGTTGGCCATCTTCGGTTGCCTGGTGGCCGATAGTCTGGCGGGCGTGACACGCGACGCCGATGTACATCGCGATATTGTTGTGGTCAAGGATGTGCGCGATTTTGTCGCCCAGCATCCGGGCCTCAAGCTGCAGCGTATGGTGAAGCAGCCAGCCGCCAGGGCCACCACACGCAGCCTATCGGTTCGCTACACGCTCGGCGCACGGATCAATGGTAAGTGCGATAGTTCGAGCTGTGGCTATTAAGCGCCAGCTCCAGAAAGTATGCAGCGAATCTAATCCATCGATATCGACTTTCAGGCGACAGACTGGTCGCTCAGGGCGCCGACGTGTTCCACTATCAGGCACGCAAGGACGTCAGCCTGCAGATCACGTACCCGGAGTCGGGCGCCGGCTCGATAGTCACCTTTGTGGAGCTGATCTGCACCCAGGATAACAACGAGGGCAATGCCTATGTGGTCGCCGGCGGCATTGGCCAGCGCTTCATATCGATCGTGCTGGAGGCCAAGCAGACCAATGACTTCGCTTACCAGGCCCAGTACTTTGGTTCCGATTAAGCGAACCGACTCCTGAGTACTTGAGCCCTACTTTAAGTTTACTTCTTACTTTTTACTATTTTATTTTATTTTATTTTTTTTTAAAGAATATTTATATTATAACCTATTAATGAGTTACTAACCATAAATCGCATGCGCATTCAAGAGGGGGGCTTTCTTTTCACTTTTGGGAGCCTTCGTAAATATCTGTGGGCAGGCAAATAAATCGAAAACGCTCACGCGCTTCCCACTTCACAAAGGTATGCGAGATCATAAATTAGTGTTAAGCCCAGGGCGGCCGTACGGTTCGAGCGAATGGCTTCGACATTATCTAGACGAACATAAATGGACGTTTTATTTTGTTTCTTTTCGTTTTCCTTTGAATCGTAGCTCACGCGACTTGCAATAGTTCTAGTTTTTGTAGTGCCAAGATCAAGGAAAAAACTTATGACTGAGTCATAAAAATACTTCATCAATATATGGGGCCTATATATTTAGAGCAATTCTGTTGTCATTTAATTAAAATTGAGTTCTCTTAGGGGGCTTGGGACATATAATTCCTTCAGAGATAACCGAAACTTTCTCTGCCTTGTGCGCAAATGCAGAGAAATTTTATCGTTATCGATCATGCATCGAGTATTCGAGTCGTCAAATTTGACGTCTGCGGTATTACGTGTTAGAGTTACGGTTAATGTTATCAAGAAAGTTGCGGTATTTCTTAATTCCCAAGGGCCACACAGATATATCCAAAAATAATTTCCGTTATTTTGGATCAATTTATCAGTTACTATTTTCTTATATATATRTATATGTATTCATATTCCGTTCTCATGCTTAACTGTTTACTTTTCGCACTGATAACACTGCGTTGAGCATGCACTACCGCAAGATACCCTGCAGCTGTAGCTGCCGTCAAATTTGATCTGTAAACAAGTTCTTAAATTTTGATAGCGCCTTTTTTTCGCAGCCATAAATGGAAAGCACGAAGGCAATTCGAGCACACTTAACTAGCTCGCTTAATATCATTTGTAGCTCGTTTTATGCGTATAGGGTAGCTCCATAAGTAATATCGCTAGGCCAACTCTCATTTCTCGAAGTGTCCGTGTTTATGAGATTGTTTGCTTATGTGCGCAAATACTATGTGTATCAAGGTTACGATTGCAAAATCAAATCGAATAAATACGATGCCAGCCTTACTGCTCATGTATTGATTTTTTTTTTTTTTTTTTTTTTTTTAATCATCTAGAGCGCTAATTAAAATTCTCAGCACTAGGAAACAATCTAAACTAAACTAAACGCCCAGACATTTGTAATTTATGATTTTGATTATGGAACTATAAATAGAATTTATATTTTAATATTATATACATATATTGTTTAACCATCTATGTAGACCACTTCAGAAAATTTCGGGTATCAATAGATAATTGAGTATTTTTCGGCATTAAATTGTTAAATATTTGTTTTTTGTTTTCGTTATTATTTTTTGTGTTACTAACGGGCTGTCGTCAAATTATTTACTGCTTGTATTTGATGGACTTAGTGGGTTTGTATTCTTAGACCTGCTATCAGTTAAGCTGCAAAGATTTCGAACAAATTGGCATTTATATGCATAATATATCAATTTTTATATTTGTATATTTAGTCATATTAAATTTTATATTTGAATATGGCAATCGATTGTAAACTGATTTGTCGCCCTCTCAGCCAGATATTGTTAATGGACTAAAGCTCTTGAGTTTTGCTGATCTTCAGGCAGATCAGCTAGAAAATTGTTTGTACGAGCTTCAAGTTTTTTGTTTTCAGCTTCAACTTGCCTGATTGAGTGATAAGATACGTTTAAGGCTACGTCCACTGCGAGCTTGATGAATAAAAAAAAAAAAAAATAAATAAAAAAGACAGAGATATTCTAATATAGTCAAGTTAAAATAACAACTTAAGCTATAGAACGTTATAGAAGACAGAGACATGAAATGATTTCAAAATATTAAATACATTTTAACTAGATTAGGTTTCTTACATAGATGAATTGATTATATTTTCTGAGTTCTTTTACAACTCTGATCACTTTCTGCAGTTAACAATTTCAGCTATATTTTGTATATTGTCAAATTTCTTAAGAACTGCTGATTCATTTACGATCATCTTTGTCATCGGTGGACTATATAATGCTTGCACATACGGCTGTATACTTATCGTAGCTAGCGTTGGACTCTGCATGACAATTGGAAATTCATATTGCTGTCGCATTTCGATAAATATATCATGCACTATATAGTTAGCTGTTCATAATATTTGCTGTTGATTTTCGATAAGAGAAAGCGACGTCAGCTACCTGATCAAATGGTTTCAAGAGCCCAACACGGAGACGGAAGTTAAAGCCAGTCTCAAGTGATTTGGTAAATATTGTAGTAATATTCTAATATACATACGAGTCCCTGACGCTCTCTTGTTATCACATGCTCCAGCGATCAGGTGAACTTCTGAACACTGAACATTTGTTGATATATTGGGGAAATTGGGGCCACGCGCCGCACGTCGATTTGGGGCTAAACATTTTGATTGGCTAAATCCATTTGGTATTAGGGCATGTCTAAAATTACTAGCACTCAAGTGCTAGCCTATTTATAGAAACTGAGCAAATAATTGCCAATTAAAACTGAAAGAATACACAAAAAAAAAAAAAAAAAAAAAAAAMAAAWMCGAACACAAAAACAAAAGCAAAAAGAAAATCCAATCCAAACTCAATTTTTTTTTTATCTTTCTCTCTTGCCTTTCTATGATATATGCTTTTCATATAATATTGTGTTGAGTTCGTTGTTTGCTGATATTTTGCATTGTTTCAAAATGCAGCAAGTGATTATTTTTTCGTTACTTTTGCTGAGCGCCTGCGCGCTCGCTGCGCCATCGCAGCAGCTGGAGCTACAATTACCACCGGATCCACAATCGCAGCGCGCCACCGATCTCGTCGTCACGCCCATCAAGCCTGTCACGAATGAGAATCGCTATACGACGCTCAATCCGGACGTTAAGCTGATCGCCCTCAATAAGGTGAAGCATGCCAAGGGCAACATGGTATTCAGCTCAGGCGAGCGTATATCAGGTAAGTTCAGGCTGATGGAAAACCTATGCAAAGCTCGCTAAATGGATTACTTTTGTCTCTTTACTCTTTCTCCCCTATTCGCTCGTCACTCGCTCATCTCCATTTACTCGTCGATCTCCACTCGCTACTCGCTACTCGTTGCTCGACTCTCCTACCCCGTTCGTTATTTATGGCTCCTCCTTTCTCCATCGTGATCCATTCATTCATCACTACCATTAGGCGACAAGCTGCTGGTCAACAACTATGATGACGAGAGCTTCACCACCGCCGTGGACGTCGAGGTGCTCATGTCCTATGCATCGAAAAGCGGCAGCGCCATCACCTTGACCAGCATCGAGATCTACGTGGACACAACGGCCGATGATGCGAGTGCCTATTTCACGGCCGGAGGCATTGGCAGCAGCGAGGCATCCATACTGCTGGCGTGCAATCAGACGCGCACCTTCTCATATGAAGCCGTCTTCTACGGTTACTAGACTAGAGAGCAAATTGAGAGCAAATAAAACAGCATCATCAACTTGGAACTGAACTGTGATCGCGATCGCCATCGTCAGCGCTAACACTAACGCTAATGCCATATCCCATCCCATTCTTCTCTCAGAGGGACAAGTATTATAGAGCTAAATTTGAATTAAAGCACATGAAACCAAATGAAGACAATTTACAGAAATTATCTTTAGTTACACTCACGACTCTTTCGATAAATATTTCTCTATATATATTGTATATTTGTATACCTTCTCTTTGACTCACTCATTCGGAAGCTTGAAT